AGTGTGACAACGTTGCAGGACATGCAGGATGTTGATGTGTAGATCTGGACCATGTTTTGTGGCATTCCTTGGGGGAGGCCTTTGTCCAACATTTAACTTGGACAGGGCTATCATGATGTAGATAATGATGACAGGAGAATCACTATAACATGTCAACATTGTTTATTAAACAATTTTGTAAAGTTAAAATAAGTTGAGAGTTAGGGTAGTTCAATGGGTCTGTTTGTGTCTGCACAAATAAAAATGTTAATTGTAAATTTAAGTGTTGATTTATCACATGCTTAGATGTGAATGAAAATATCATCAATAACCTACAATTCTATGAAATAAAATATATTTTAAATCCACCAACTACCAACAATGTGGTAGAGTCATGCTGCAGCTATATTAGTAATATAGTTGGAGCATGAACACATCGGCTCGACCAGGGAAGGTTAAGGAAGAATATATTTGTTAATTAACTTAACGGTGGTAGAGCCACGCAGCAGTTTTTGCTGTTGCATGTATGGGCCGGCTCGAGCCGGGTTGGTACCACGACCTCACAGAATACCGGCGTGAAGTAGAAGCTTTGCTTCTGCGTTTCGTCTGGTGAGTGCAGGTGGCCGGAGGCCCAATTCCCCCCCCCCCCCCCCCCCCCCCCATCAACATGGTAGCGGAATTACACGAAGAACTACCCCAGGAGGGTACCAGCACCCCTGGAGAATCCCTCGCTGAGCATCCACGACCATGTTATTCCGATTCTGAGCGTGGGTGCTCAGGCTGCCCCGCATATTCTGGGGGGGGGGGGGGCAAAATTCCGCTCAAAAGCATCACTGCTAGGGGCAAACTGAGCAAGAACACCAAGGCGACCCCTGCCACGCTATCCGTGAATTTCTGCAACATCAGGGGACTTCACTCTAACCTAAACGCCGTCCACTACCATCTCGAGACGGCGAAGCCGGCCTTGCTCTTTCTGACCGAGACGCAGGTTTCCTCTCCGGCTGATATTTCGTATCTCTCCTACCCGGGGTACAAATTGGAGCATTCCTTTGTGCCTCGGGCTGGAGTTTGCGTGTATGTCAGAGAGGACATCTGTTCTCGACGCCTCGGCAGTCTTGAAGGTTCGGACCTGTCCATCCTTTGGCTACGCGTAGACAGCGACGACCATCCGCGCGTCTACGGGTGCCTCTATAGGTCCCATAGCGGTAATGCCGAAACAGACCGACTCATCGACCACGTCCAAATGGCTACAGATTTCTTGCTACAACAGGTCCCATCCGCAGAGATCGTGATCCTTGGCGATTTTAACGCCCACCATACCGAATGGCTCGGTTCACGTCTAACCGATCATGCGGGGAGATCTGTTTTTGACTTTGCCTTGGCATATGGTCTGACACAACTGGTTACTTCGCCTACGCGGATTCCAGATGTGGAGGATCATACACCTTCCCTGTTGGACCTTCTGCTGACCTCTCATCCGGACGGATATCAGGTTTCCGTCGATGCCCCTCTCGGCTCTTCGGACCATTGTCTGATCCGGAGTGTGGTGCCACTCACGCTCCCTTCGCGGTTGCGTTCTGCAGGTTGCCGCCGTGTTTGGCATTACAGGTCGGCGGATTGGGACGGAATGCGGTCCTTCTTTGCATCCTACCCATGGGGGCGGGTTTGCTTCTCGCCGGATGATCCCAGCGCTGTTGCTGACTCTGTCACTGATGTGGTGCTACAGGGAATGGAACTATTTATTCCATCATCTGTGGTACCCATCGGAGGCAGATCTCAGCCTTGGTTTGGTCGCTCCTGTAAGACTGCATTACGCAGTAAGCAGGAGTATTATCAAGCCTGGGCTGCGGCTTCGGCAACTCGGGATGTAAATACCAGCACACTTAAAAAGAAGTATAACTTCGCCTCCAGGTCCTTCAAAAGAGTTATTGCCAAGGCAAAGTCAGAGCACATAGGCAGAATTGGCGAGAAACTAGTTCGCCTTCCTTCGGGAACCCGTGCATTCTGGTCTCTCGCCAAGGCTGTCCAAGAGAATTTCTGTAAGCCATCACTACCATCTCTGCACAGGGAGGATGACTCACTGGCCCATGACGCAAAAGACAAAGCCGACCTTTTAGGCTCCCTTTTTGCGTCCAACTCAACTCTTGATGACGGGGGGAAAACACCGCCGACCATCCCGCGGTGTGAGTGCTCCATGCCGGATGTGCTGTTCTCACAGCGCTCGGTTCGCAAAGCACTGCTCTCCCTGGACATCCAGAAGTCGAGTGGGCCTGACGGAATCCCCCCAATTGTGCTGAGGACGTGTGCTCCGGAGTTGGCACCGGTCCTAACGCGTCTTTTCCGGTACTCCTACTCCCAAGGCGTAGTCCCGAATTCATGGAAGACAGCTTTTGTCCACCCGATCCCTAAAAAAGGCGACCGCTCAGACCCATCCAACTATAGGCCTATCGCGATCACCTCCTTGTTCTCCAAAATAATGGAATCCATTATTAACTGCCAGCTCATCCGGTACCTTGAGGATCACCAGCTGATTAGTGACCGCCAATACGGTTTTCGTCGGGGTCGATCAGCTGGTGATCTTCTGGTCTACCTGACTCATAGATGGGCGGAGGCAGTAGAGTCCAAGGGGGAGGCGTTGGCCGTTAGTCTGGACATTGCGAAGGCCTTCGATCGGGTTTGGCACAAAGCGCTTCTTTCGAAGCTCCCTTCCTATGGGCTTCCCGAGAAATTGTGCAATTGGATCACCAGCTTCCTTGCAGATCGGAGCATCAAGGTCGTTGTAGACGGTGCATGCTCTGACTACAAGCCTATTAACGCTGGTGTTCCACAAGGCTGTGTGCTATCACCAACGCTGTTTCTTCTGCATATCAATGATATGTTGCTAACTGGTAACATTCATTGCTATGCGGATGACAGCACTGGTGATGCTCTATACACCGGCCGTGCCAATATTTCTCGGGAAAACGTCGCTGAGTACCGGAACAAACTTGTGTCTGAAGTCGAGTCTTTGCTGAACAAAGTCTCGGATTGGGGGCGACTAAATCTAGTCCAATTTAATCCTCAGAAGACACAAGTTTGCGCGTTTACCGCTAAAAAGAACCCCTTTGTCGTATCTCCTCAGTTTCAAGGCACTCCCCTTCTTGCCTCAGCCAGTATCGGTATCCTCGGAGTCGACATATCGAGTGACGTGCAGTTTCGTGGTCACTTGGAAGGGAAGGCCAAATTGGCCTCTAAAAAGCTTGGCGTGCTCAGCAGAGCGGGACAGTATTTCATGCCGGCACACCGCCTGCTACTTTACAAGGCGCAAGTTCGGCCTCACATGGAATACTGTTCCCATCTCTGGGCAGGGGCTCCCCAGTGCCAGCTCCTTCCACTTGACCGCATCCAACGCAGAGCGGCTCGAATTGTTGACGACCGAGCCCTTTCCGATCAGCTCGATTCATTGGTACTGCGAAGAGATGTTGCATCCCTTTGCATTTTCTTTCGCATCTACCATGGGGAGTGCTCTGAGGAATTGTTCGGATTAATCCCAGCCGCCAAATTTCACGAACGCACATTGCGGCAGAACTCCCGATACCATCCACACCATCTGGATGATTGGCGGTCAACCACTGTGCGATTTAGAAGATGTTTTCTTCCTCGCACAACCTCCTTGTGGAATCGATTACCATCAGCGATTTTTCCGGACCGATACGACTTAGGGACCTTCAAGAAAAGAGCGTACTCCTTTTTAAAAGGCCGGCAACGCATCTGCGATTCCCCTGGTGTTGCAGTTGTTCATGGGCGGCGGTAGTCACTTACCATCAGGTGAGCCGCATGCTCGTTTGCCCCCTCTTCTATAAAAAAAAAAAAAATTACATCTCCATATATAAAAATCAATTGCTGTCCATTAGTCTCACAAAAATAAGAAAATGGCTCGACCAATTTAGATGAAATTTTTTGTGTGTGTTCAAGTGGGTTTTTGGATGGATAGATTAACAATTGGCCCAGTAGATGGTGCTGTTGTGGCAACACAGAAATCATACAAATCTAAATGGCAATGCAAAGCCAGGGCAGATGGCTAGTTAGTGTATAAAGTGACCAGAGAAGCCTACACTAAACCTTCATATTCATACATTTTCTTCAGATTTTTTTCTTTGAATCAGTGACAGTGATAAGTTCTTACAGAGCAAAGCAAATATATCATCCTATTTGTAATACTACCAATCGATTGGAAAGAAAGCTTCTCGAGTGGCAGCCTTCTACCCGGCAGGCAAAGTGTAGGGTGTCCCCCCCACTAGATGCAGTGACAACCAGGAACATGCAGGAAGTCAATGGATGCAGGTGGCTTGGCACCAGGCTTTGTGGTGTTCCTTGGGGGAGACTTTATGTTCAGCAGTGGACTTGTGGAGGGCTGTAATGATGAATGATTGTAATACCATAACAAACCAACTTCAACAGTAGAATACAAGAAATTAAAAAACAAATTGATTGTGAAAACAGAGATTTTCACAAAATCATACAGATCATCATGAGGTTAATATAACAATTGGCCTTTGTTGCCTGGTTATCGTTGAAAAGCTTCAGAACTCCAATATTAAAGTTTTTCCCAGCAATTAAATTATAATTTTTCTATCTCAATAAATACAAAGTATTTTATAAATCAATTATATTAAAAACTTAACTGAGTATTTCATGTATGTGTATATTTATTTAGCATATACTATTACAAGAAGTATCAATTGTCACACATCAAAATCGTTTCTTATTTTAGTTTGTTATTTTTTCCAATCTGGCATTAATTATTTTTATAACAATTTTTAACATTCTAAAGAAAAATAAATATGTAATATTTTTAGATGGAGATTTTATGATATTTAAAAGTCACAAAATTAAAATTACATCTTTTACTAAACTGTAGAGATTTTATGAAATTTAAAACAATTATTGCAATCAGTTCTTGAACTATCACTAAATTAATTTAAATTTAATCGTGTGAAATTTGGATTCAAAAATTAATTTAATTTAAAATTTTAACTTACCGTCGTGGGTACGTATGCTTTATTAGCAGTAGCTCTCTCATTCATCCATTTCACCGACTTGAGCTTTTCCCATGGAAGATCATAGTGGAAATAAATTTTGCTTTGGTTGAACTTAGATTTAAATTTCATAATTATCACAGAGAATAAGCTTACAACATCACCCATTTGCAGAACGTTTAAATGCAATGGGTGTAAAAAGTTAAATGGTCATGAGACCAATAAGCCTAATCTTATTATGACGTTAACAGTCATCGCAAAAAAGCAATTCAAGTTTTCTATAAATCATTATATTTAAAACAATATAAAACTACTGCAAACAATTTCCCACCGGGCATTGCAAATTGTAAAGAAAAAATGTTCAACCAATAGTGATTACTGATTAGTGAATAACTGTCACTGTAACTGTCAAATGTCATTGTAACTGTCAAATGCAAGAAGCAATAACGTCAATTTTTTTATTAAAATTTTTGGCTTGGATGCTTGTTTTTTAAGCCATATCTTCATTGACTACGGGATCTTCGATATAATTATAGAGGGTAGTGACACAGAATAAATAAAAGTACTACGTACAGAATTGCCGTGTAGTGGCGGTAAAGAATATCTACTACCCCATATCTTCCCGTGGGTGTCGTAAAAGGCGACAAAGGAAAACAGGCAGGAGATGGGCAACAGCATCTTCCTGATAACAACAAACTTAGAATAAAAAAAAACTGCGGTTGCCAACCCGCTCGCCAAGCGTGGCAACTATGGCAAATATGATGAGAGTAACAGTGAAATGGCCCCCAGTCCCCGGCGGCCCCACTGTTCCTGGCTACGATGGCGACCATGGTAAAGGCGGGGCAGGGGGTGCTAAGAATCTCCGGTGAAGGTTCGGTTGCCACCTAAGACGACTCGACCTGGCAACATACAACGCACGCACTGAGGCACCTGAGGACTGACGAGAAGATCGTGGAGCTGGAATAAGAGATAGACAAGTTACGCTGGCATATTATAGGATTATCCGAAGTCCAAAGAGAGGGGGAGGACACGGTAATCCTCGAATCCGGCAACTTGCTCTATCACCGGGAGGGCGACCATCTGTCGCAAGGACGTGTCGGATTTATCATCCACAAGTCTCTCGTTAACAACGTTGTGAAGATTGAGAGTGTGTCGACGAGGGTTGCGTACCTTATACTCAGAATCACCAAACAGTATTCGCTGAAGGTCATACAGGTTTACGCACCAACCTCGGCGCACCCCGATGAGGAGGTGGAGGAAATGTATGAGGATATATCTAGAGCCATGCATTCCTCCAGAACCCAATATACGGTGTTAATGGCAGACTTCAATGCAAAACTAGGGACAAGAGAGAACGGTGAGCTGAAAGTAGGAAAATTTGGAATAGGGCAACGGAACCAAAGGGGGCAGCAGCTAGCCGACTTCATGGAGAAAGAGGGACCATTTATGATGAACTCTCTCTTCCAGAAGCGGCCCCACAGGAAGTAAATCTGGTCGAGCGCCGACGGTTCCACAAAAATTGAGATTGACTTCATTATGACGACCAGACGACAACAGTTCCGTGAAGTCTCCGTGATCGCGAGGGTGAAAACTGGTAGCGATCAACGAATGGTTAGAGGCACACTGAACCTAAACGTTAAGTTGGAGAGGTCTCGTCTAATGAAGTCAACACTTCGTCCGCCTCGTGCTCTGTTCCAGAGTCCCGAAACCTTTCAGCTCGAGTTATAAAACCGTTTTCAGTGCCTAGAAGACTGCATTGAAGTGGACGATATGAATGACAAGCTCGTGGAAACTGTCCATGCGGTCGTAGCTAAGTTTTGCAAGACCCGCCGCAGAAGAACACAAAACTCTACGATCACACTCTCAATCTCATGGCTGTTAGACGGGAGATGAAGATACATTCTTCAACAGATTTGACAGCATACAGGCAACTGAACAGACAGATCTCCAAATGCATGCGGCGGGACTTATGCAACTTCAATACAGCTTGTATTGAAGAAGCGATCGAGCGGAACCAGGGCTCCAAAGTCTTTTCTAGAGATCTGTCTACCAGAAAGAGCCAATTGTCGAAGCTGATGGCCGAGTGTGGCAGCATCGTTTCCGGGGCATCTGAGATTTTGAGTGAGATTGATAGGTTCTATGGGCAGCTGTACACGTCATCGTTGGAGCCACACGCAAGTGTGAGTAACGATCCAAGAGAGAGTCTTATCCGACACTATTTCGAAGATATCCCAGACGTCAGTCTGAGCGAGTTTAGAATGGCTCTCTAGCACATTAAAAACGGCAAAGCCCCAGGCGAGGATGGAATTACAGCGGAGCTTCTGAAAGCGGGTGGAAGACCGGTACTTGAAGTCCTTCAGAAGCTCTTTAATTCCGTCCTCCATGGTGGCGTTACACCGGAGACGTGGAGCAGAAGTGCGGTGGTCTTGTTCTTCAAAAAAGGTGACAACGTTCTCTTGAAGAACTACAGACCAATTTCCCTTCTGAGCCGCGTCTAAGTGCTGTTTTTGAGAGTCATTACGAATCGTCTCGCGCGCAGACTTGACGACTTCCAGCCTCCCGAACAAGCGGGTTTCCGAAAGGGCTTTAGCACCATGGACCACATACATACCCTTCGGCAAATTGTACAGAAGTCCGAGGAGTAGAATTTGCCACTATGTCTGGAGTATGTGGACTATGAGAAAGCCTTTGATTCTGTCGATGCGGTGCTGCAGTGCCTTCAGCGGTGCCAAGTTGACTGTCGGTATATCGAAGTGCTGAAGTGTTTGTACAGTAGGGCTACGATGGCTATCCGAGTACAGAACCAGAGTACGAAACCTATCCAATTGCAGAGACGTGTAAGACAAGGTGATGTTATATCCCCGAAACTCTTCACCGCTGCATTGGAAGACGTTTTCTAGCTTCTGGACTGGAAATGATACGGTATTAACATCAATGGCGAGTACATCACTCACCTTCGATTTGCCGACGATATAGTTCTTACGGCAGAATCGCTGGAGGAGCTAAGTACCATGCTCAATGACCTCAATAGTGTCTCCCAACGAATAGGTCTTAGGATGAACATGGACAAAACAAAGATCATGTTTAATGTCCATGTGACACCTATGCCGGTAGTTGTTGGGAGCACTAAGCTCGAAGTTGTTGACGAGTATGTTTACCTGGGACAAATAGTCCGACTAGGTAAGTCCAACTTCGACCGAGAGGTCAATCGACGGATTCAACTCGGCTGGGCAGCGTTCGGGAAACTACAGACATCTTCTCGTCAGACATACCTCAAAACCTTAAAACGAAAGTGTACAACCAGTTCGTGTTGTCAGTGATGACTTACGGATCTTAGACGTGGTCCTTCACTGCTGGCCGTATGAGGAAACTCAAGGTCGCTCAGTGAGCTATGGAGAGGGCTATGCTCGGGGTTTCTCCGCGTGATAAACTTAGAAATGAGTATATCCACAGTAGAACCAGAGTATCCGACATAGCCCAACGGATTAGTAAGCTGAAGTGGCAATGGGCCGGCCATATAGCTCGAAGAACCGACAACCGATGGGGAAGAAAGGTTTTTGAGTGGCAGCATGGTACCGGTAGGCGAAGTGTAGGACGACCCCCAACGAGATGGAGTGACGACCTGTTAAGACATGCAGGAAGTCGATGGATGCAGGTGGCTCAGGACCGTGCTTTGTGGCATTCCTTGGGGGAGGCCTATGTTCAGCAGTGGACTTATAAAAGGCTGTAATGATGATGATGATGACGTACAGAAGTTGCACTCCTTTGATGTTGACTGCTTGCCGATGTTTTAATTGCTTACATAATTAATATTAATCAAATAAATCGCGCACGCAAGCTTGATAACACTTTATCACTGCGCGCGAGTGTCTACATTGCTTTGCATCCTTTTCCCATCCTACGTCACGGCGGACTTTGATGTGGTTACTAAGGGCTGTGAAAAGGAGTAAATAATACATTGCGAAATGGTAAGTAAGTACTTAAAGTACTAGGTTTTGCGTTGTAGCAATGTGCGGATGACATCCTAGTTAGTCTGTAGTCACAGCTTATAGTTTAGCGTGTCGAGATCGAACAATGTTTAATCAATTTAAAAAAAAGGCGATTAGCGATACACAAAGCACAGCAAAAATTATCGATTAGCTATCTACAAACAAAATATAACCGAAATATATATTTGTTTATAAATAAATGACACAATTCATTACTTACAGAGATTTAGTTACAGATTAATACAAATTATGACATAATAGTTATTTAATTAGACATAAAAATGATCTTTTAATTTATTTTAATTACAACATTTTTATTAATTTTACTCTTTTGTCTTACACCTCTCTGCAATTGGATAGGTTTCGTACTCTGGTTCTGTACTCGGATAGCCATCGTAGCCCTACTGTACAAACACTTCAGCACTTCGATATACCGACAGTCAACTTGGCACCGCTGAAGGGACTGCAGCACCGCCCACATTTCGACAGAATCAAAAGCTTTCTCATAGTCCACATACGCCGGACATAGTGGCAAATTGTACTCCTCGGACTTCTGTATAATTTGCCGAAGGGTATGTATGTGGTCTATGGTGCTAAAGCCCTTTAGGAAACCGGCTTGTTCGGGAGGCTGGAAGTCGTCAATTCTGCGCGCGAGACGATTCGTAATGACTCTCGAAATCAGCACCTAGACGCGGCTCAGAAGGGAAATCGGTCTGTAGTTCTTCAAGAGAGCGTTGTCACCTTTCTTGAAGAACCAGACCACCGCACTTCTGCTCCACGCCTCCAGTGTAACGCCACCATGGAGGACGGCATTAAAGAGCTTCTGAAGGACTTCAAGTACCGGTTTTTCACCCGCTTTCAGAAGATCCGCTGTAATTCCATCCTCGCCTGGGGCCTTACCGTTTTTAATGTGCTGGAGAGCCATTCTAATCTCGCTCAGACTGACGTCCGGGATATCTTCGGAATAGTGTCGGATAAGACTCGCTTTTGAATCGTTACTCACACTTGCGTGTGGCTCCAACGATGACGTGTACAGCTGCCCATAGAACCTATCAACCTCACTCAAAATCTCAGGTGCCCCGGAAACGATGCTGCCTCATTCGGTCTTCAGCTTTGTCAGTTGGCTCTTTCTGGCAGACAGATCTCTGGCAAAGACTTTGGAGCCTTGGTTCCGCTCGA